AAGAAAAGAGAAAAAGGAGACTATAAAACCACTAAATAATAGAGGTGTGCAATATTACACTCTTGATCTGAATCAAAAGGATGAGAAGCAATATAACAATATAATTTGATCAAATTAATCAACTTTCCAAATTAAATCAAGTTTAGAGTGAATAATTTTATCAAATGTCTCCAAATTGGACTTATACAGGTTATATTCTCATGTATAAAGAATTTGGCTGCAGGTTTAACTGCTGCTTGGAGTCACTTAAGTGTGAGTTGGACAGTTATGTTTGTTTAGTGTGTGTGTGTGTGTGTGTGTGTGTAAGCTAATAGAGGCATGCCTGAAAACCTATTTCACTTTTCAGAGCACCATGTTTGAGCAAACCAAAGGAACACCTATGGGGTCTCCGATTTCAACCGTCATAGCGGAGGCGGTACTCCAACAACTAGAGCGCACAGCGATGACCCAGTATCAACCCAAATTCTGGGCTCGCTATGTAGATGACACGTTCACGGTCATCAAGAAGTGCCAGAAAGCTAACTTTATGAGCATACTTAACTCGGTATACCCGGACATTCAATTCACAATGGAGGAGGAGAACCGGGGCTTGTTGGCATTTTTAGACGTGTTGGTTCACCGCCAACCTGATGGAACCCTGAGTACGAAGGTATACCGTAAGCCAACGCATACGGATAGAATCCTCCATTATAGAAGTAACCATCCGGTAGCCCATAAGGTTAGCTGCATTAGAACACTGTTCAGACGGATGGACTCCCACTGCAATACGACTAGAGCCAAAATAGAAGAAAAAAACTACCTCTTCCGCATATGCAAGCACAATGGCTACCCCACAAGGTTCGTTAGACGCCATGGTATGCCGCCTGAACCCCGGGGGAGCCCACGCCACCCTTCCTTATATCGGCAGCGTTTCAGAAGCGACAGCCAGACTGCTGGGACCTCACAATGTGAAGGTGGCCCACAGACCCAACCAGACATTACGCTCTAAAATCATGCACCCCAAGGACCCACTCCCCAACATGGAAAAATCGGCAGTCATGTACAGGATTGACTGCAAGGACTGCCCTAGCAACTACGTGGGGGAGACCTCCAAGAGAGTGAAAACTAGGGTCCATGAACACAAATTAGCTGTAAAAAGGGGTGAGCGGCATTCGCAGGTTTGGGTGCATATGGCGGAATCTGGGCACTGGTTTGATTTTGACCAAGTACATATTCTGGCTAGCGATAGCACAAAAGGAGGCCGACTACTTAAGGAAGCCTGGCTCTCTGATAAAGACTCAATCAACCGACATATCAACTTTTGCCCAGCACACCTGACACTAAGAACATGGAGTGCACGCAACCACCCACCCCATTGGAGGCAATCCGGCCCCGCATTGAACATCTTAAGGAACGATCGAGGGGCTCTCCAACCGCGAGGATGCGCACACACTCCCAAACAACAAAGAGACTAGTGAGTGACGATAGAGCAATGTCCCACGTGCTAAAAGTTCCCCCGTGCCTACCCACGGAGGAGACAACACCTGGGTTGAACCAGCGGACGCCCATAGAAAACGGGGATGCCGAGGACGACGCGGAAGGGCAGCTCAGAACGATGACAACTCGAGCGTACCGGAGGAAGGAGAAGACGGCGCCGTTAGTTCACCCCGTGAGGACAACTCGATTGCACCAGTGGGAACCACGAAACGACACTCGAGATGACACGGGCACAGAGAGTGTCAGGAATGGGGGGGAAGCAACGGAAACCGGGCGAGACGATACTTACAGGGATTGTGGCCAAGTAGACAGCGGGAGGGGGATGAAGGGCATAAAACAGGATGAAATGCCTGAGGCACAACTCCATGAGACGGAGAATAACAGCTGGGGTGCGGGTGAAAGATACGAAAAGGAAAAAGGGGAAAGAGAGTGCACAGCACCCGGACGGCCTGGGCAGAGAGAGAGGTTATGAGAGAAATAAACACAGAAATAAACATCTGAGAGATACGGAGCCCATGGCCAGCCAAAAAAGAGGGGGAGGGAGTTCTCCCAACCCAGAACTCTGCGAGGGGAAGATGGGTGGTGACATACACACAGGTAAGGGATGCAAGAGAAGAGCAATAACCAATGCAAGAGTGACGTTTAGAGTGCAGCTTAAACAATCAGGACCGATGACGAGGTCCAGGAGCCGGGCGCAAACATTGAACAGCCTATAAAAGGACTCTCCCATTGATTAGCATTAAACCCTGACGATGTTTTCTGAGGTTTTCGCGGGTGTTTGTATGTAGGTCTTTAGTTATTCGGGTTTTCTCCCGCGTAGAATTAAAAGTACCTTGGCGACGTTTCGACGAAGTCACATTCGTCATCTTCAGGCTGGTGTCTTCAGCTTCGTGCTTCTAAGCAAGAATTTGCAGGGATTGAATTTGCAGGGATTGAGAAAGACAAGGTGGACTGGAATCTTGATTCCATTCTGTTGTTTATTCTAACAGGATTCATCACAATCCAAATGTGTACATCGTACGATATTCAGAGAGTATTGTAATAACACTATGATTTGGATTGGACTTTGCATGAGAAGTGTCACTTCTCATTGTTATCTCTTAAATTACTCAATTACGTTTCCTGATCCAAGGTGCACTTCTTGTATAAAAATATCTCTAACAATCAAAAGCACAGAGAAAATTCTATCTAGTCTGCAGAATGAATAAGCTATAATATATGAGTAATTTTAGTAAAGGATAATGTGAATGCCTTAAGGGAAATGCTTTAATCTCAGAGGCACCTGCCAGGTCTAACAATTAGCAGAAGTTTTAAAAAATAACAGGTAGTCATCTGTTTGCTAGTGTTCAGCATATTACATATTCATTTAATGCAATTCAGTGCTACCACTCTTTTAAAGGCAGTGTGTTTTTGTCCCAGGTGTTACATATGATACATTGACTTAGTTTTAGTCCTACAATTTTAATCATAGGAGTTTTATTAATGGACTTGCAGGAGTATTTCATAATGAAATATGAATTTAGCATTGGTCATATTTAATTGGGAAAATTTATTTCATTTTTTAACAACAGCTAAATTTTACAACCTGGCTCTTATAGAGCAAACATATATTCTGCAACTGTGCACAGTTACACTATTTGAGCAGTAAAATGTACTTCTCATGTTTTGTTCAAATAATCTTTATCTGTGATTAAATACAGGAAATACTGGTTTTGCAAGTTAACCACTCATAACTTGTGTCTGACAGGCCCTGTAGAATGGTGGACTATGACTCACTCCTTGGATATATTAGATTCATATTTTATAAGTCTTGCTTTTATTCTTCCCCAATGGATTATGAAATTGCATTGTTTATTTTTATCACTTTATTTTTTTCGAACTCTCAGACTCCTTTTTTGACTGATGTAGAATAAAAATTGGTTAAATATTGTAAGACAATAAATACTGATAAGGGCTGTGACAATAGGATCCCTCCTTGAGCAAGGCTCCTTTTCTGCCATAAAATCAAGCTCAGCATGATTGACATGCACAGCAGTAATCATCAAAACAAAATTAATGAATGAAGTAAGATTAACAACAGTAAAAACAGCATTGCAGAGCAGAATAATAAAAACATTATGACTGTTAATATCAAATCATTATTTCTTTTATGCAGATCTTACATTTGCTGGAAGCAGCTAGAAGCAGTTGTACTGAATCGGTCCATTCTCTACAATGGAATGTGTGTACTTATGGGGACTTGTAGTCTGAGAGGTGAAGAGATTGTTCTGTGTGTATGACAGGCTCTTTCAAGAAATAGCTTCCATGTGCCCACAGAAAGAGTAGACAGCTGATAAGAAGGATAAATGATGTAAAGGCCTGGGAAGAAGTTACCTGCTTATCCTATGCACTCTACATTTCAGTGGTGGAATGGGGAAGAAGTTCCAACAGCCCCACAGCTACGCAAAGTAGCAGTGCTAAACAGGGAAACAAAAAGGAATGTCTAAACTAACTAGCAAGTTTGTCTATTAAATATAAATTTGCAAGGAAAAATAATTTCTGACAAGATAATGGTGACCTTATTGAAATATTACAGAAAAAAATAAATGGAAAAGATTTACATAATGGTTGCAATCACACTATTACAATCTTTTAATTGTAGAGCACACATTTCAAGAGGATTGCTTGATTAAAGGGCACTAAAATCATTGTCAACTCTTGATAACCACATACATTTTCTCCATGATTATTTGTCCTTAATCTGGTCCTTCAGGTCTTCTAATGAAGCAGTCATCACCACTGTAACTGAGTCCATCCACCTGCTTGTCATCTTTTTCCTCCTTCCACTTTTCCCAGCTTTAGAGCCTTCTTCAGAGAGCTTGGTCCTCACATAGTGTGTCCAAAGTAGGATAGTCTGAACCTGGTGCTTTGTGCCTCAAGGGAGAATTCTGGGTTGGTTTGTTCAGCGACCCATTGGTTTGTTTTCTTGGTTGTTCATAGTATTCTCAGCAGTCTTCTCCAAGACCAAAGTTCAAAAGTGTCAGTACTCTTCCTATCCTGAATCTTTGGGAGAATATCAATAAGATAACACCTTTATTAGAACTGTTACAAAATGGTTGGGTAAATTGTCCGATTTTTTTAAAAGAAATCTAAATAGGAAGGGAATACTTGGGAAGGGAATACTTGGGGAAACCCTCGGTATGGGTATGGTATATTTTGATAATGCAAAATTATCAATACTTTATTTCATTGCATGGATCATCTATAGAATGGCATTGTAATAAACTCTGCAGGACAGGAATTGTGTACTCGCTTGTAACTGAGACCCAAACTGCCACTTGGAATCTATAAAAGAGGCTTGCAAGAAGAAAATTACGGCTATCGGAACTTAAAACGTGAATATATGTGAGAAAATTTATTCTGATATAGCCTTCCTATAAAGTGCTGTCGAGCCTAATACAGGTCCTCTGTGCTCCCAGGGGGCGCTGTTACGCTCGCGAAGCCACTCTGGCTTTGGCCGTTCCCTCCTCTGTGTTCCGGCTTCGTCTTGGAGGCGGGATGCGTCGCTACCGCGAGTAGGGCACATATTGGGCTGAATGGCGGAGAGGGATGGCGACGCGGGTCCGGGGATATCTCGGGTGCTTCTTTCCGTGGGCGACGGCGGAGGTAACTGGCGATGAATGTGTTCAAAGAGAGCAGCCGCAGGGCAAGGAACGAATGTCGTGCTTCCTGATCTCGTCTTTTCCCACTAACGCTGTGTTTCTCAAACTTGGCTACCCTAAAATGTGTGGACTTCAACTCCCACAATTCCCAGTGGCTGGTTCGGGAGTTGTGGGAGTTGAAGTCCACACCTCTTAACATTGCCAAGTTTGAGAAACGCTGCAATACCTGTAACTTGTTTTTTTTCGTTGCGTTGCTTCCAAATTCTGTAGGCTTGAACAGTAACTGCCAAAAGGAAAATAAATAAAGTCCTGTAGGGGCATGGTATTCGTGAGACCTTGCGCGAATAAATAAACATCATGTACAAATATTCTCAAAAATAAGGCGCAACGTTTTTGCAAATTTTTAAGAAAATGTTAATGCACGTGCCTGCTAAAATTAATGAGAGGAAAGAAAGTTTGCATCTGAAAAAAAATCCTTTCTGTCTCGACTTTCTCACTTCTGGTTTCATAGTTTTTTATATATTAATGCTTGCCTAAATGTTGATGAGAATGGTTTTGTGCCTTCCACTTTTGAAATGCACAATAGCCTAAAACGTTTTGCTTAATTTATAGCATGTCTCTACAATATTATCATATTGGTTTTTGTAGTGCATGGAGTTGAAAAAAGTGCCATGCTTCTCACAGTAGGGCATGTAGCTATTAGAATAAACCCGATTTGCATCAACTAATCTGCAGTAGAGTTCAAAGTGCCTATAAAGAGAAATACTGTACTAGTAAAATCAATAGTATGTGCCTTTTCAACTGAAGCAGGACTTCTGGATTTCTAGGTATCAGTGAAACACTTTTGCTCAGTTCAAAACATGCTAAAAAGAAAGCCACAACCTTACAGACAACTAGGCTGCCCAGGAGCAACCGTAAGTATATACACATATATATTTTACCAGTGAGTTAAGAGTATTCCCTGATTTAGAGCAGTGTTTTTCAAGCTTGGCAACTTTAATGTGTGGACTTCAACTGCTAGAATTCTCTGCCCAGTGTGCTGGCTGAGGAATTCTGGAAGTTGAAGTCCACCCATTTTAAGGTTGCCAAGTTTAAAAAACACTGACTTAGAGGATTGTGCCTTTCCTGAATTATATATGTATGTTATAAAATAAGAATCATAAATAAAGTCTTGCCTTTGGGGGGAAGGGGCTGTATCCTCAGAAATGTCAAAGGATTTAAAGCTTAAATATATGTGGAGATCTTTGAAAAGAACATGCATTTTCTATTATTTATAGAAATAAGCAGAGAATGAACATTAAAATTGGTTTCCCCACTCCTCAACAGTTAGTAGTGGTTAAACTAAATATCATGAAGTATATTTTTGTATAGTATCTTTATTTAAATAGAGATGAATTTGAAGATTAAATCTTACATAATAATTTGATCTTGCGATATGGCAATTGATTAACAGCATATTTCTATATTTATTTTCTATGTTTATTTTCATTCCCTATATGTGGGTGTTGCTGGCTGTCCTTATGTTCTTCCTACCCTAACCATCACCTAATCAGTGGTAGTTTTTTTTAAATTCTTTAAATCATGTTTTGAAGCATATTAATATCTTCATAAACATGTTTCTGTACATTAGTTTTGGATAAGGTGCAGAATTTTCTACCCCAGATGGCTAGCGCAAATAATCAACTGAGAAGAGAAATGGACAGCAAGCCTGGCCAAGAGTTTGACATAGAAAATATAGATCCTTCGATGGAAAAGATAATTGAAATGGTGAATATATTTTTGTTTCTAATTAATTCCTTGGCATGGAGCATTACATTCATGTTTATGATATACTCAAAGAAGAAAAACTTCTTCTTCTTTAGTGTCTAGACCTCTTCAAAACTGTTATCCACAATAATACCTGGATGTTACCATCTTTTTTTTTAATTGACTTCTGTGCTATGACTGAAATAATTATTTATTTATCAGATTTATTTGACTCCCTAAAACTAGCCAGATACTAGACAGTTTATACAGTTCAAGTATTAAAATCAGGGTACAAATTAAAAAAATAAAATAAAATCATGACTAAAATTACAAGCTAAAAAATTTATAAAAGTTGCATTGCTATATAACACTTTCCCCAAATCCACCTGAAAAGCAATGTTTCTAGGAGGCCAAGGGGATGGGCATCACAAAGCTTTTCAGTTAAGCACATAAAAACTTTTCAGGGAAAGTTTCAAGAGTAGCTCTCTTTACCGTGTGCAATCCGGATGTTTGAGGGTTGTATTTCTCAAAATTCCCCATCAGCCTGAACAGGGACAAGGTTTGCTACAAACTCTTCATGTGATACACCAGACATGCAGAAGAGTCCCAAATTAGGAGGATTGCTAAGCTAGCACCTTCCACTACTTGAAGACATTTGACTACATTGTCTCCAAAATTCCTTTCACACTGATTTTGCATTGCTTGTTGATGGAGGTGGCCAACTCATGCCCAGAAGATTTGCCTAAGCAGCAGATGAGAGCCACTGGCTCTGTGGTGCTTTGTTTTCAGCATTTCTTTTGTAAGTGTTTTCAGCCTCTGATCATGGAAGGCAATTAATTGATTAATCTATCCAGCTATTTTTTTCTTGACAGTGACTGTCATACAAATAATCTCTTTATTTAAACCATTTCTATGGCCAACCATCTTAAATGGTTGACCATCTGAAATAGGTAACTCAGGGCAGAAAGCAATCATTTTGCTAAAACCAGTATACACTTAGTCCTTGACCACAATTCAATCCAAAATTTCCATTGCTAAGCAAGACGGTTGTTAAGTGAATCATTTTGCAACATTTTTGCCATGGTTGTTAAGTAAATCACTGAAGCTGTTAAGTGAATTGTGGGGTCGTTAAGCTAATGTGGCTTCCCCCATTGTCTTTGCTGGTCAGAAACTCCCATAGAAGATTGCAAATGATAATTCCAGGACCTTGGGATGCTGTAACCATTGTTAATACATGCTGATGTTAAGCACCCAAAGTTTGATTACGTGACTGGAGATTCTGCAGTGGTCATAACTGTGAAAACTTTTTTCAGTGCTGCTGTAACTTTGGTCATTAAACAAATGGTTGTAATTTGAGGGTCACCTATAAATAGAATGCCATAATTAAACTAAGTTTTAAAAAATCCAATAAAAAGAAAAATGGAGGTAACATTAACAAATTCACCAAATACACATGTGTATATTAGGCTCCCTTAACACCTGGGCCTAATACTTGGGAAATAGCCTGGTCTTTATGGCTTTCTAGAAAACCAAGAAGATCAGGGAAGGCTGTTCCATACACAGGGCTACAGCAGAGAAGGCAAATCTCCTTGATCCTACAAAATGACATTTTAATAAAGGGAACCTTGAGCATGCCTATTGGATCTGGTAGGTTGGGACTTCCACTCATTTTTACTGGTACTAGTGGGAATAGTTAATGAACTGATGTTGAGATATTTTCTAAGTCTAAGATAATGATCATTGAAACTAAAAAATGACTGCTTTTGATTTCATAGTTCAGCATTGAAACTGATGTATTTTTACATTCTCATTGTGCATTTAATAGTATCTTACTTTCATTATTAAATTATTACAGAATGTGGGCTTAGTAGAACTGAATGACTGTGATACAACAGAATCAGAAGATGATTCCGAATGTGAGGACAGCTCTATTTGTGAAGAAGTTACAGAAGAAAATATTAAGTTTTCTTTATCAAAAAGAGAAGGACGAATAGAAATGTTGGATGGTAAAACTGAGTAGGTGAATTAGCCTTATTTTCCTATCATTTCAATATCTACATGTTATCCTCATTTTTTTCAAGGCCTCTTGGAAAGTTGTGCTGTGTACTTCATATATTGAGAGGTGTATAAAAATCTTTTGTAGGTTTGCTATTGTCAGAAGAAATTAATGAGGATTTCATTTATAAAATTGAGAGAAAAGCAAAAAGAATAATGGACCAGACAGAAACAGAAGAATCAATAGTTATGAACTATTTATGAGTTAATTTGTAATAACATTACATATTAATACCAACTCTTGGGATACATAGAGATAAATGACAATGTCTCTGCAAAAAAGATCAATTACTCTAGATTGTTTCAATTACAAAGTATTTGGATTGGTGACTCGCTGTTGTATGTTATAGTAGTGGCCTTCCAAATGAACTAATTCCTAACTCCCAAGTCTGGTTGGGATTCATGCTTGTTTGTGCCAAAAGTTACCTTGTTTGAAAAGTCCTTTAAGGTAGGGGTGAAAGAATTGTGTTAGACTGAAATATATTTTGGTTGATAAGCGGCATTCATAATGGAGAATGAGGAATGCCATTGGGAATCCAGTATATTTTTAATGTCCAAAATATGTTACAAATCAAATCGGGAGTTTCTAATCCCAGCCAGTGTGAGATCACATGTTACATCTTTGAAATTAAAATATGCCTTGTATTCTCATAAAGTTTATTTAAGCTGAATAAAAAAGATTTTTTTTAGATGCATGGTATTTGTTTTATACTGTAAAAGGCATCAACTTGCAAGATACATGTCAAAGTGAACTGAAATTAGTTTTATTTTATTCTTATGGACAATTTGTTAAGGTTATGCATTATTACTGGAGCATACATAAGACTTTATTCCCCAAAAAATAATTTTTGAGCTATTATTGCTTACTTGAAAATGGGGTTGGATGCAAATCAGGAATGTTTGACATGAAAAGTCAAATAGGATGAAGACTTTGGAAGTAACAACAATTAATAGCTCATACTATACATGGTAGATTATGGTCCATAACTTACATTCATAGAGGACCATGTTTCAGTGAATTGATGTGAGTTGATAATAATTGTAGTACATAAATATAAATAAAATTTAGGTACAATAACATTTTCTAGTACAATCCACCAAAAATTTCTATTTATTTTCCATAGCATATTCCTGGAAAGCAAGATACAAATGGCAAAGTATCTTTCTGTTCATAATTTCCAATATTGTTTTGAGACAAACACTACTATAGTCTTATCTTTCTGTTCATTGTATTTTATACCACAATGTTGTACGCTGTTTTCAATAAATATTTTGCAATTGCAAGTAGTAAATACATTCAAAACCTGGCATGATTGTCTTCACAAATTGCATTAATCCATGGCTTTAAATTGTTGAATAATTCAGAATGGTTGTGTTTAGACTTTTTCAATGAGTCAAACCTTAGTATGTGCGGTATGACTTAGAGCATTGTGTTATGTATGAGAGAGCGAGAGAGGTTATCTTACAGATGTAATACTAGGTCATGAAATACTATAGGACATCAAAAAAGCATTTATTTAATGTAATTGGCACCCACAATTAGAGATTAGGTACAACTCAATGGCAAACAGATTACAAAATAGTTCTACAACTTTTTTTTTATTTAGGGGAATAACACAGATGTTCAATTCACTATTGTACAGATTCATAGTAAGTGCACTTCCTTGGATACATAAACCATGTTTGTGGTAAACTGGTTTTCTGAGTTAGTTCAAATATGCAAAATGTTTATTGCAGGAAAAAAGTATGATGCTGGTGTAATGTGGCCAAGATCCACATGGTTACTTAGGACAAATAAAAAATTATAGCACGTTTCCAACTTAAGGGTAAAGAGTAAAGAGACGAAATATGAGAAATTTGATGGTTTCTAGATTTCTGTCTCACCTTCAGATAGACCTAAATGTTAGCAGATGGAGGAGAACATGATAGCTATAAGAAGGAAAAATTTATGATCACAGTAATCCATAGCAAGAGTTGAACTCCTTTGAGGAATCCTATTGTGAATAAATGCAAATGTGCTTAATTGGATCATTGCACTGAGACACTGGTTGGCATGTTCATGCCAGGAAACATTTTTACTTTGTTGTTTGTTTATAATCCTGTAGTTGCTGTGGGTCAGAGGAAGATTGGGGGTTCTTGGCTGAGCTGTTCAGTATTCCACAGTTACAGCTTTTGTTCTCAGGTACTCATTAAGAGCTTCTTCACCTAAAAAGAATAAGAAAGTCTTGAGTAGTTGGAGTCTCCAAGGATGCAAAGTTCCTCACAGCGGGAGTGTTTGCCAAAAGCAAAGTAGAACTCAAAACCAAGTAAACCCTCCTGTATAATGGAGATTGGTTAAATAGAATGCAATACAAAAGACAGATTGATATGGAGTTTAGGGGGACTAAACTAAACTCCTAAACTCCGTTGAAGATGTTACCTAGCCTGATAACGAAACATTTGGAAACCAACCCACTAGGTCAGAGAACGAACCTTCACCCTTATGTTAAAATATTGCTTGCCTCTACTCTAAAAGAATCCTGCATTTTGCAAGGTTCTAAATTGCATGTTCTTTTAACATGGGGTTGTCAGGCTGCAATTTATAGTATTGGATGTGTGCTCTGATTTTAAGGGTAAAATAGCGCAACTTTATTTACTACTTTGTTTCAAATGCATTTTGACAATTGCTCCATTACAAAAATAACATTGAGCTGGAAGAGACCTTGGAGGTCTTCTAGTCCAGCCCCCTGCTCATGCAGGAGAACCTATACAATTTCAGACAAGTGACTGTTCAGTCTCTTCTTAAAAATCTCCAGTGATGGAGTGCCCACGATTTCTGAAGGCAAGCTTTTCCACTGGTTAATTATCCTCACTGCTAGAAAGTTTCTCCTTAATTCTAGGTTGCTTCTCTCTTTGATCAGTTTCCAACCATTGTTTCTTGTCTTGCCATCTGGTGCTTTGGAGAATAGTTTGACCCCCTCTTCTTTGTGGCAGCCCCTCAAATACTGGAATACTGCTATCATGTCACCCCTATTTCTTCTTTTCTCACTAGCCAAATCCAAGTCCTGCAGCCGTTCTTCATATGTTTTAGTCTCCTGGCCTTTGATTATTTCAGTTGCTCTTCTCTGAACTGTTTCCAAGATCTCAACATCTTTTTTGTAGTATGGTGACCAAAATTGGTTGCAGTATTCCAGATATGGTCTTACTAGGGTTTTAGAGAACAAGTAGTCTATAACAACACTTTTTCTCATTACATTTCAAAACGCATCATTCATGGTTGTTCACAATGTTGATTCAAAAATAGGACCCAAAGAGTTCTGGAACGTGATAAATTTCTTACCTTTAATACATGTCACTTTGCAAATATAATTGGAGTCTAGAGAGAAAACATGAAGTGCAGCTTACCTAAATCTTTTCCAAAACCAGACTGCTTGAATCCACCAAATGGTGCTGCCACATCAGTTTTGTTATAAGTGTTAATAAAAACAGTTCCAGCTTCCAGTTTGTCACTGACATATAGTGCCTTGCTTATGTCTTTGGTGAAAACACCTGAAGCCAAACCATATTCTGTTCTGTTGGCTCGTTCTAACACTCCATCAACGTCTCTGTGGCAATAAAGAAACATTCTAAGATATAGACAGCACAAAACACCAAAGATGCTAAATTTAGCACTCCATATTTTGTAGCATATATTGTGTTCTCATATTGTGCTAAGCCATAATTAAATTTATTTCAATTTAAGCATGTAGTTTAGGAATCGTGGTTTATAAATCATATTCTATAGCTGTCTGGAATTGCAAACCTGCCATTGGAATTTAATTGAGTGAAATATGATTAAAACACAACATTGTTTAGAACCATCTGTAAATCCAATCTGGTATTTTTGTGAAGTATTTTTGAGACTTGGCTAGAATGTATGTAATGAATATCCCTAAATATAGGGATATAGCAATGATATTTAATCCACAAAATTAAAAATTGCATGGTTCTTAAGGTCATAGACTGGGAGAGAACATCAGGAGTAATTAAATAGGATTCCAAATACTACTACAGTCATGCCGGAAGCGCTTCCAGGTTGAAAGAATTGGACGGTGACATCACCATTGCCTGGGGAATGCCCAGTTGGGGGCTCCTTTCATAACCCTGTTAAGTTACCTACCAAAGTGGTACTCATTTATCTACTTCTGATTGCCCACCTTTGAACTGCTGGATCAGCAGAAGCTGGACCGTGTGGTGGGAGCTCACCCTGCCTCGTGGCAGCAACCAGCTCTCAAACGCGAGCCTGCTGATCGTCAGCCCAGCATCCTAACCTCATGAGCCTCCACACTCCTACAGGATTCCAAATTAGGGGAGGAATCTACTTCACAGAAGTTTTCCTCCAGTATGTAAATTGCATTGGAGAAAAGGAGTGAAGCAGGTTCATTTTCTCTTCTCAGATGACTTAATTGCAAGGATCCAGGGTTTGAAAAGCTTGTAACTGCTGCAGCAACAACAGCATTAATTGGAACAGAACGTACCCATCTTTGAACTTGGAAATGATCATCACTGGCCCAAAGGATTCCTCATGGGCAATATGCATGTCATCCTCAACGTTGATAAATATGGTGGGTTCCATGAAGAAGCCTAATGAAAGAAAAATGGGTAGTTACAATCTCCAGCATTTTCTATCTTGATACATAGATGGGTCATACGTTATCAGTCCTCAGCAATGCATTTTATATGTAACTTGGCTAATAAACAAGGACTTTAATTTTTAGCCAATTGATTATTTTAAAAAGAGCACCCATTCAATATATTTTTAGTTTCCAAACAGGAGGGTGTCAAAAAGAGGTCATTTTGAGCTAGGTTTACAGTTTCTGTTGTGCGTTTTACAATCAGTTACCTTCTTCCTCTTCTCCTCCTCTCCTTCCTCTACATGCTTCATAATTACTTGACCCTTATGATAATACCATGACTGCAGGAATAAAACTGAACAATTAGTTATTGTTAAAACAGCAACATACATTTTGGTGGGTCACCAACTGAATATAATTGAACTAAAAAGAAAATCAGAAGTCACTTTTGTTATAAATTTGTTTAATGTATTTTTTGTTAAATAATTTGTTATTCCATTTTGCTTTTATCTTAGTTTGTATTTTAATGTTTGATGTTGAAGTTTAATAACAATATTATTTTTAAAAAGAGAGAAAAGGAAAAATGTGATAAACAACATCAGCCAAGGAAGATTCTGGCATATCTATGGTGGTCCAGTTCCTGGTGCTATTATTTCCCTTGTCACTCCACTTAGTCAAATTTCATATAATGTGCCATACTATGATTTTCTTTACATTGGAAAAAAAGCTTCAAATGCAAACAAAACTGAAAAGTGATAAAAACCTAATATCAGGCAGATGGATCCTGAACTTAGGATTTATACCCAACTGGACCGGATGCTGCAATCTTTCTATTGCAATTGCTGGGAGTTTATTTCAGGAACTAGAGCATAGATTGAAGTTCCTCCAATAAAAGCAGGGAAGTCCACCCTCTGAAATCCTTTCCTATTCCAGTGAAAATTCTGAGGCTCTTCTCCAAAGTCAGAATTTAATGCAAAAATGAGACTTTTATATGCAAAAATGGGGACACTTGAGAGAAGAGATATGGAAGAATTGAAATTTTGGATTGGGCAAAGAAAATCGCAGTATCCATGTATGAACTGAACACAAATCAAATACAGGAGAAGACTGTAAGTCAGGATACATTATTACACTCAATTACTTCAACGCTAATTTCTCATAAACAAAATCCACAATCTCAAAATAAAAACAAATGGAGGAAAGCATTCTTCCTCCATCTGCCAGCATGAGTTTGGCATAGATTTGGATGTACCATTCACTTACTTACAGATTTTCCATACGATTGCTCAAAACTTAGGGTATTATTTTGTTTTATAGGACTACAATTGGAGTATGAAAGCACAATACCAAAAGAATTGTTTGTTGCAGCTCTCCAATGTTTAGCAAGTCCTGCTTTCATTGTGGAGTGGCCTCTAGAGAAATTAGGACCAAAATTAAAGGTCTGTTGCATGAACTGTCTTTGATCTTTCTGTGATCAGTCAGACAGGTTTTAATTGTGTTTTTAATATATATATTAGACTTACTGTATGCTGCCAAGTCTTCTTGGATTTGGGCAGTCTTAACAAATCCAATATATCATTAAAAACAAAATCAAATTGATTTTAGATTCATTCTTGCAGCTAGTCAGAAGAGGCAAGGATTTCCCCCCAAAAATGTAATTTGTCACTTTGCCTTTAACATCATGAACAATTTTTATTTTAAATGTCCCATGTGTTT